CTCGCACTGCTACTGCTGGGGGTGGCTTTCCTGCAAGCGACCCTGCGCGGTCCAAGGCAGCTCGGCTGCACGCCCCAGTGGAGGTGGCCTGGGGCCGGGAGCCAAGAGGCTGGAGTTCTGGGGACGGAAGTGCTGTGTTTCCACCACCGCCCGTGCCTCGGTTTCCCCAGCCGTACAATCGGCTCACAATGACCTGCCTTGATAAGCACTTCCAAGCGATACGGGGGCACGGCCCTGCTAGCAGAGCCGATGAGCTGGCCTGGCAATGGGAAGTCCAGGAGGGCTCCGTGCCACTTGTTCAAAGCAAGAGGCGGGAAATAACCGACGTCCAGTTCTGCGGCTCTCGACGCCCCTTCTCGGCGATCAGCACGGGCCCGGCGGGTTCGCTGGGTGGCCTGCGAGACATTCTGGTTACCGTCGCCCACGCCCAGGGATGCCAGATTCGGCTGGTTTCTGACCGTCCTACCGGTACTGCTAACGCGACACAGCCAGGGCCGGGGAGGGAGGCGTGTGCGGATTGCACACAACATCGAGAGAGCCAGGCGCTCCCTCCGCAGCCAATCCCAGTGCTACCACGATGCAATCTCCCCCTCCCCCCCGCACATTCGGCAACACCCATCCCGGGAGCCGGCTCGGACACAACAATCTGGCGACACCCTGAGGTGAAGGAGGGTCCCTCAGTAGCCTTGGTTGCCCCTCTCTGGTTTTCGTTCTGACCCACGGCCAGGTCATAAGAGCAGAGTAACGGCCAGGCTGGGTCAGACCGTGTCCAGCCGGCCCAGGGTCCTGTCTGCCGACTGTGGCCAACGCCAGGTGCCCAGAGGGAGTGAACCGAACGGGGAACCATCACGTGGTCCCTCCCCTGTCTCCCACCTCCAGACAAACTGAAGCCAGGGACACTGTCCCTACCCATCCTGGCTAATAGCCAGGGCTCCACAAACAGTGTAATCTGCCCGTGGCGAGTAGATTACACCCGGAAGAGCTGGTGCAGCGCGATCTGCGCATGCGCAGAGCACAGAACCACACAGCTGGCAAGCCCTGCTAAGAGCCATTGACAGACCTAACCTCCATGAATCTATCCAGCTTTTTTTTTAGCCCTATTCAAGTCCGGGTCTTCACCACATCCTCTGGCAAGGAGTTCCACAGGTTGACTGTGCGCTGCGTGAAGAAACACTTCCTTTGGTTAGTTTTAAACCTGCTGCCTATTCATTTCATTGGGTGACCCCTAGTTCTTATATTGAGGGAACAAGTAAATAACTTTTCCTTAGTCACTTTTTCCACACGTTTTATAGCCTGCTATCCTAGCCCCACTTAGTTTCCTCTTTCCTAAGATGAAAAAAGTCCCCGTCTTTTTAATCTCTCCTCATATGGGACCCGTTCCAAATTCCTCCTCATTTGTGTTGCCCTTTATCAGTATTCATTGTCAACATCAGCAAAACTCGATGTTCCTCTTTCTGCGCCCACGCCCCACAGAGTTTGCAGCTGTACAAACTGCCTTTAGATGTAGAAACCCCTCTGCCTGTCAAAACCCAGGCGATTTACCAATTAACTGTGCAGACACTCGGTCCCCCGGCCTGCCTGTGCCAGCTTCAAAACCTCCCCTGGCTGGGGCCTGCTGCTGGCGCTCTGCAGCCTACGCAAGCCCTCGGCTGCTTGTTAACGATCCCCTCTCCCCCCAGCTCATCTCCGATTCCCTCAGACGCCGGCGGCGGCACAGCAGGCGCCCACGCCTGGGCTGCGGGGGGAAGGCGGAGCGCCCAGCAGCACCACGGTTCAGCGCAGCGGGAGCAGCCATCCCCCGAC